AGGGTGGGTGACTTGGAGGAGGTCATGTGAAGAGGAGATGAAAACGTGTGGGCAGACTTGGAGTGAGGTGAAGACGTTGGCAGAGAACCGAATGCAATGGAGACGCACGGGTGAAGCCTTGTGTTCCTCTAGGAATTAAAGGAAACAATAATAATGATAATAATAATAATAATAATAATAATAATAATAATAATAATGAGGTTTTGAGGATCTTAGTCAAGTCGAGATCAGTAATCAAACTTCATGAATCAGCACAGTGTATTAGTCTGGTTACTTTTAAATGTCTTCTGGTTTAATTCCAATTATTAGATTCTGTCACGAACCAACATCAGTCAGTGATATTATTGAAAACCAGGGAGCACTGGAAAGCTTTTCCGTTCCCTTCAGCAGTGTACACCCACGCCCCCATCAGAGTCCGAAAATGGGACGTTTTAGGTAATAAGCCACTTGGGCTGGACGGAATTCAGTGACCCGTGAATTTTAACTTTGGTCCTATTCAGGTGGGTAGGTAGTTAGCTGAGTTCTAGTAGGAAGTCGTGACCAGTGGGTTATATCAGGTCATGTGTGAGAAAAAATTTTCACCAATGACATTCGCTATCAGTCGCGTCATATCATGAATTGACACAAGCTGGAATTCATGGACCACTGGATCGGGTCCCAGTGGCTTAATGGTCTACGAGCTCGCCTTGTAACCAGAAGGTCCTGGGCTAAAACCTCAGTGGGTGCGTGCTGATGAAGAGTCCCAAACCAGGACGAAACAGCTGTCCAGTACTCCCAAGTTTTCATAGTGAAATCTTGAAACCAATCAAATCCCTGCAAACCCTAACACTTGAATTCTTACTTCGTCAACTCTTCTGGCTTAAGAATCCTATATTGCATAACATTTTAATTTGGTATGGGCAGTGATTCGATATACTTTACGCAGATATTAGTCTCCAAACTCCCTGTAGGTTCATAATTTATTTTTGTTTCTCAGTGAAACTCCTTAGTAGTCCTCTCCTTTCTGGCCCACTTATATGCAAGCAAGTACCTCAGAGTAGTTGTAGGCTACATTTTTGCAGTCTTCTGAGGTTTCTTTTCTTTTTTTCAGTAGTCATATTATTGTGAAAGAATCTGCTATTTCTGCTTTACCGCTCACCTTTTGATTTGTATCTGCAGATTTCGTTGAAGTCATAAACAGTACAGGTTGGTATACTGGTTCAAAGTTTTGTGTAGACCTCAGAATGACTATCATACACTTCCGATTCTGGATTAATTTCACTGTATATTTCGTCATAAGCTGAAAATGGTTAGGGAATCACTGAAAATTAAAAAGCCCTGGACAGATGTTTCGGCGGAGCTAAACTTTAAGTATCAGTAACTCCCATTTAACAAATGACCTTGGACAAACCAATCACACAAAAAGGCTATTTTTAGGCATAAAATACATGTATATTTATGAAAATGTATAAAAAGGGAATAAAAACGCTACGTAGGATACCTTTCTCTGATGTGTGACAAAATGACTCAGTTTCCCATAGGTGGATCAATAAAGAGTTTTGAACCTACTCTATACATGTATGCACCCAAATAGCTGTAAATTACATCCTTTTTAGGGAATCAGTAAAGACAAATATGAGACAAAAGGAATAGTAATATCGAAAAACAATATAGTTTTATTGGGAATTATAAGTCACAAGGAGTGGATGCATCTGTACCAACCATTGAAAACAATTTTGAGCCATATCACAAATTGTCTCCAGCCATTGATGTTCACCGTCTCGAGGACTCCAACCAGTCAGGAAGTCTACACCTTCCTACGTGACTGGCTGGCTTAAACTAACTGTTGTAGATTTCATTGACTGGTACCATGTTTTGGTTTGACCTCCGTTAACTCTTTTCCTATGTCAGTTAACATTGCCCTTCGAGGAAGGTGATGACTAGGCATGCGTAACACATGTCCTAATCATCTCAGTCGATGTAACTTCACAGCCTCGTCTACTAATTTCCCTTCCTTACCTAGCACTCGACGCCTACCCTCGATGTTGCTCACCTTATTATACCACTTCACATGGGAGATAGAACTGAGACACCTATGATCGAAGACAGCTAATCTTTTCATGTCTTCCACTCTTAATAGCCAGGCCTCGCTCACAGCCATAAAGGAGGACGGAGCGGACTGCTGGGCAGTACACACGTCCTTTGGTGGATAGCCGGATATCACGTCTACTAAGCCAGAGACGGCGTAAACTGGCATATGCGAAACTAGCGTCTGTATCCGTGCTGAGATTCAAGGTTATTCTCTGATTGGTAGTTAGTGGTGGTTGGCCGTGTGAAGCGGAGGGCAGTGTATATCCTCTTCAACATTACAGAGGGTGAACAAACAGGAGGATACACACTATGCGTTTCTTAGTTGTATTCGTAGTCATTTATATATGTCTATCTAAAGACTGAAAATACGGGGAAAGAATTTTTCATAGACTTTTCTTCCTTTTGTTTGTTAACAGATGGCGTCTAATTAATTAAAAGGGAAGACTTGAAATTTAATTTTATTTCTATGTATAAAAAAATATAACTCGTGTGTTTTATACATCAAATTATGATGTCCTGTATATTAGAATGGGTTTTTTTTATAATGAATTTCCTTCTCCTACTATTAGGTTAAACAACAACAGCGGTACAAGCAAATTACCTTGAAGAGTAGCCAATCAGAATAAAGTAGGGGCTAATTCAGACGAGAAAAATTATGCAGGGATTTGATTTCTTTCAAATGTTGATCATGGATTTATATTCGTTAAAGAATCACTGAAAATTAAAGTTGTTTCCTCCTATTTTTTTAGAGAGTCTTTATCTGTGCTCATGCATGACTACACCTGAGATTGGACTCAGTACCTTCAGGTTACGAGACGAGTACGTACGTTACCATTCAGCTACACTCAGTCAAGCGAAATCCAGTGACCTCAGAATTCTGTGTGTTTCAGACGACACAATGACAGACTAGAACTTAATGGACGTTTTTTTGACTGTGTATTATAATTCATAATCGAAGGCACTGACTAGGCGTAGCGTTATATATATCAGGAATTGATAGAAGTTAGAATTCATAGGCTAATGGATTCTTCCTAATGGGTGAGTGAATGATCAACGAGCTTACCTCGTAACCTGATAATCTTGGATTCTATTGCCGATGGATTCATGCGTGTGTAATGCTGATTAGTCGTAAACTAGGACGAAACAGCCCTCTAACTGATGTCAATCCATGATGAGACTTGAAATCAATCACATGCTTACAAACCAACATTTAAAAACTACTTAAATCAATCAATCAAAATGTGAAAACATCATTTCTGAGAAAAGTTTCTGTTTGATAGCTGTACGAGTTGAAGACATGAAAAGGTTGTCTGTTTTTGATCATAGATGTCTACGATCTCTTTCTCACGTTAGTTGGCGTAATAAGGTAAGTAATGTTGACGTTAGGCGTAGAGTGTTGGGCAAAGAGGGAAAATCAATCGAAGAGAAGCTATAAAGTTACGTAGATTGAGATGGCTAGGTGACGTGCTGCGCATGCCTAACTATCGCCTCCCCCGACGGACGGGCATTACTAGCTGATATAGGTGCAGGTTGGTTGGAAAAGAGTAAGTGGTGGCCAAACAAAAACATGGCCTCATCAATCCATGAAATCCTTGACAGTTACACTGAGTCAGGTAGGGAGGGAGATGCAGACTTCCGGGTTGGGGCCCACCCTCGGGACTCTAAGAATCAATGGCTGGAGACAATAGGTGACATGGCTCAAAATCCTTGTCAATGGCTTACGCAGATGTATTCAGTCTCTGTAATCTTTCATATTCCTTTCTACCATTACTCATTCTTTTTCACTCTTATACTTGTCAAAACTCTATTGATTCTCTTCACTCATTTTCTTGTCTACCTTTGTGTGGTATTTGGAACGTGGCAACTCGAACTGTTGCATTTGGGTGCCAAGTTCTATGTTGAATCCAGCCAGCCAGCTCCGCCTGAGATTGGGCTCAGGGCTTTCAGGTTACGAGACGAGTACGTACGTAACCATTCAGCTACACTCAGTCACGCGAAATCCAGTGACCTCAGAATTCTGTGTGTTTCAGACGACACAATGATAGACTAGAACTTAATGGACGTTTTTTGACTGTGTAATCGAAGGCACTGACTAGGCGTAGCGCTATATATCGCGAAATGATAGAAGTTAGAATTCATAGGCTAATGGATTCTTCCTAATGGGTGAGTGAATGATCAACGAGCTTACCTCGTAACCTGATAACCGTGGATTCGATCCTCGATGGGTTCACGCGTGCGTAATGCTGATTAGTCGTAAACTAGGACGAAACAGCCCTCTAACTGATGTCAATCCATGATGACACTTGAAATCAATCACATACTTACAAACCAACATTTGAAAACTACTTAAATCAATCAATCAAAATGTGAAAACATTATTTCTGAGAAAAGTTACTGTTTGATAGCTATATCTTCTTAGTGTGGGAATCTTTAATAATGTGCTCAAGAGTTCTCCTGTCCCATTGAATCGCTCACTAAAGTAAGATTTTGAGTCTAGCGCTGAAGTGTTGCAGTTATATGACTGTATGACTAGCGTGTTCATCTGAAAGTTTAACAGTTTTACTATCCGCTCAGTGGTCCAATGGGGGGTAGAATGCTCACCGGACACTCACGAAACGTCGATCGAGTCTGATTCCTGGCCGGCGCACTCCAAAACTTCGTTAGACTGGTAGTAAGCCCAGAAACTCCAAAATTGAGGTTGGAAGCCATACAGAAAACGCTCTCAGTCACTTGCTGGGTAACGAGTGCCTACTGGTGGTAAATGTCAATACTAATACTATATTTATCCATTCATTGACCCGTAGTTTCACTTGATACTCTAAGTGTTTCGATTTGTGATGAAATCTATCTACCATGTTGAATGAAACTCCTGCAAGTATAAGCTAATCATATCTTCATATATATTTTGTGTTTCACTCTCTTGTTTAAAGTTTCAGTTTATTCGTGTGATGAAGAGACTCGAATAACAAACGACGCTAACAACAGATTACAACAACAACAACAAAAATCATCTGATTATTGTTATTATTATTATTATTCGAATACTACAATGAATAATTCTACTCATAGTAATACAAATAATGATATCAATCTGGGCAGAATAACTCTGGCTGATTCAAAGAATCTATTTCCTCCGAATACTTCATTGATGGAGTTGAAAGTTGCTGCTATGGAGGTAATATTGATTATTATTAGATTTGTAAAAATGTAATGAAAACTTTCTTTGTTTTTTACCTCTAGCCCTTTTTTGTATGAAATGTCGGTATATTTCTTTAATTGTCTTTTAGTATTCAATGATAGAGTGCGCTTGCTGGCTGCATATGGTGGTGTATGAGGGGGGTTGGTTTTAATCCCCAGGGGATTATTATTATTATTGTTCCCTTGAGTTCCTAGAGGAACATAGGGCTTCAACTGCACGCCTCCACTTGCTTCTGTCTTCTGCTGTACTTTTCACCTGCATCCATCTTAGTCCATACTGTTTCAGCTCCTCTTCACACGATCTCCTCCATGTCACCCTTGCACTGACGTCCCAATCGCCTCCCCACATTCGACGGGTTCCACTCGAGCACTGGCCTGACGCGCGATGTCACGCAGCGGCCTCCTCAGCGAGTGTCCAATCCATCTCCACTTTCTCCTGCATATTTGTTGTTTGGCGATTGGTTCTTGTTTTGTTTGTTCCCATACTTTCTTGTTGGTGATTCTTTCCGGCCATCTGATCTTCAGTATAGAACGAAGACAGTTGTTGATAAAGGTCTGCAATAGGCTGTTAGAAATATTCTTTGTGACCCGTCAAGTTTCTGATCCATCCGTGTAGAAGAACTGACTGACTTGACGTTTGTATTGAAAATCCGAATTTTGTTGTTGATGCAGGCTGAGTGACGAAAATTTCCAGATTGGTTTCAGGTTGATGAATGTGTTTCTCACCTTCCCGATTCTCGATTGGACATCCTCGTCCGTTTTTCCTGTGTTTGAGACAATGCTCCCTAGATAAGTGAAGTGAATGAAGTAACCTCTTTCAAATCCCTCCCGTTGATGGTGATTGGCGGTGGATGTTGCTGCTGTTGTTGTTGATCCCCAGGGGATACAATCCTAAATCTTGTTTAATTTACAAGCTGACAGTAAACGTGGAAAAGAAGGGAGGTTAGGCATGAGGTGGTTAGCATTACCACTAGGTAAGAACAACACCACTGCTGCTGTCGCTGCTGATTTAAGCCTTATGATCCACTTGGAATGCAATGTAACAAAAATATGTAGTCAATACCACTTCGCCGAGTTCGGATCTTTCACGTGCCGGGGTATAAGCTGCACTTATTTAGTGGGGGTTGTTGGTGGAGTCCATGTTTCAGTTTAATTTCAACCCATTTCTATTTGATCATAGGAAATAATAAAAAGACAGTTGCAGCGAAGAAAATTTTGTTTTCGACGAAGTCATCATCTAGGCTGTATATTCGTGTATTTGTATGAAATGGATGGGAAAGTTCCAGAATAATTTCCGGTTAAGGGTCAAATTTATAAAAATTACAATTAGGAATTAGAATGCCATACTAAACAGGGGGACGGATAAAACTCAAACAAAGGAGCCTAATAATTAGGAATATTAACATTGTGCAATTGGGGGTTAAAAATGTAGAAATAATAAAATAGACAGGATGTTTGGATAAAAAACTAATATGATGAATAATTGTTTATGCAATCAAGGATTAAATATGTAGAAATAGTAAAATGACAAAATAAACAGGAAGTGTGAATATGAAAATATGGTAGTGTAGAGAGGGATTAAGAAAAACTTAACATAAATAAACAGGAAGTTTAGATAAGAAAGGCGATGGGATGGTCATTACTAAAAAAATTTACCTGTTTATGATGGCCATGGCAGGGACAGGGGTTGAACGTATTTCTTTTGGATACAAAGAGTGGGTTTGAGTTTTTGGATAGCTAACGCCTCAGCTTTGCCCAGATGTCTTGATTTGACTCCCTTTGATAGGTTTAATTGAATCTTGTATATTACTTTGAAGGATTTTTCGAAAGGCTCTGAATGTCCTGAGTTGACCAGATGTTTTGTCACTGGACTGTATACACGTTTTTGTTATCCTTTTGCTAGTCAGGCTGGGTAGTGTTGGCGAGCGCGTTTTTCAAGTCGGCGCATGGTACGGCCGATGTACTCAGCTCCACAAGAGCATTTCTGTTTTATTTCGTCATAGATGTACTAATGGAATTAACCTTAACTGAATTCAGCGACTTACAGATTGAATTGTTACCAATGAATAGTCTTGTTCACTTAGAATATGTGAATGATATAGTCCTACTATGTGAAGACTGCGATAAGATGCAGGGTCTTGTGAACACCTTGAACAGCCATCTTCGAATGTTTGGCATGAGATCCACTCCTGTCAAATGTAAGATGATGCTACAGCACTCGACTGCACCATTGACTCCTAGCTGAAAAATAGGGTGTGAATTGGTACAGCATGTTGACCATTTCACCTATTTGGGAAGTTGCATCAGCCCCAACTCACTGACTGATTGCTGATGGGAATCCCAGCATGAATACAAAAGGCTCATGTGGGATTGTCCAACCTACATCATCTCTGGCGTCGACGTGATATCCAAATGACTATGGATGAAATGACATGTGTTCTGCTCGTCAGTTCGCTCCGTCCTCCTTTTTGGCTGTCGGTGAGACATAGCCATTGAACGGCGAAGAAATTAAATGGGTAGCCGTCTTTGATCATAGGTACCTGTACCCTATTTCCTATATTAAATGATACAATAGGATGAGTAATATTGAGGTTAGGCACGGAGTGTTAGATAGTCCAGGTAAGTTAATCGATCAGGTTGTGAAGTTGAATCGATTTAGATGACTGGGACATGTGTTACGCATTCTTAGCTATCGCCTTCCTCTACGAGCAATGTCAGCTTACATAGGATTAAGTTGGAAAAGAGCTATTGGCGGTCAAATTAAAAGATGGAATCAGTGCATGAAATCTTTGAGTTTGTTAGTTTGAGTAAGCCACATAGGGAGGTGGAGGCTTCCTGGGGTTAGGGTTGTCGGGATTCTAAGAGCCAATGGCTACGGACTATTGGTGATATTACTCAAAATCATTCTCGATGTCTCAGATGTCTCATTCACTCTTTGTGACTTACCGCATTCAATTAATTCTAAAATTTCCCCACTTTCCTACTCTTACTCCCTCAATTTTCTGCTTATCTTAGTCCTTTCGAATCCCTTTTTTCTGCCTTTGTTGGTTTCATGTAGTATGGGATCTTCAAACGGCTACACTTACGACTCAATGACCCATGAATTTGAACTTCTACCAATTCGTCATTTTAGCGCGACCACCAGCCAATGTTATCAGTTTGCATGGAGTCCTAGTCAGCGGTCGTGACCATTGGGGTCCACCCGGTCGGGAGTAAGGACAAATATTCGCTGATGACATTAGTTGGTGGTTGTGCTGAAATAACAAATTGGTAGAAGTTAGAATTCATGGACTGGTCATTGAGTCAGGTCCCAGTGACTGAATGGTCTAGGAGCTTGACTGGTAACTAGAAGTTCCTGGATTCGAACCCTGTCGGTAGGTGCATACTGCCAGTGAGTGTTAAACTAAGCTGATGAAACAGTTGTCGAGTACTCCTTGCTGGTTTTCAATGGTTCTCTAAATGATGTGAGTCCGTGGTCCAACCTTGAAACAAATCAAACCCGTACAAACTAACTCTGAAATTAGTTAAGCTGTAAATTGTTGTGAAGCCAAGATAAGAAGGTTTATTTTGTTATATCTGACATTAACCCTCACGTCATCCCCTTTCGACTATCATCTTTAATGGAAAAAAGAATATATAATCAAAAAAACAACAGCAAAACAAAAAGAAAGCACAAGAAAATCTCAAGTGTAAATAAAGGATTTAGTAACTGTAATCTTTTTATTTTTAAGACTTTTATTTGCATTTCTATAAATATTTATTCTTCATATACTAATTGGAAACTATGTATGATTAACGCTCGACTAGTCAGTAAGTAAGTTAGTTAGTTAGTTAGTTTAATAAGATGCGTCAATCATGATTGTGATAATCCTCGAAAAGTAGGTCAAGTGAAATACTACCTACCTAGTAACAATAGCACAATTAGTAATAATAATCAATCTAATTTAACATGAAATTTTGAGAGAAGTGTTAAATACCACTAGGTTTTCTCTGTGACCTCTCACAGTGTGTGTGTGTGTGTCGTGTGTCTGTTTGTGTGGTACAGTTTGATTTAAACAACTGACCGTAATCTAGGAGAAGTCAGATTTTCTCGGGGAGGGGATATCGGATATGTTTTAGCAGAAATTCTTCTTTAGCCTTTCATCATATCACATTGAATGATCATTTTTCATCATATATATGCATATCCCTCTAAAACAATATAAAATTGTACGCAAGTGTGCGTGTGTGTGTTGTGTATGGTGGACAGCCTGTATATGTTATCGCAACACACATCCCCACACTCCGATAAGGTAGGTAATAAGCGTTAAGTGTAAATCATTTTTTATTTTGTAATCAGATTAGTTTTAATAAGTGTTGGTTTTCAGGGATTTGATTGGTTGTAGGCTTGATCATGAGTTGTTATATCAGTTAGAGGGTCATCGGAAAACCAGAGGATACTGAGCAACTGTTTCATCCTAGTTTGCGACTCTTCACCAGCACTCACCTATCACTGGGATTCGAACCAAGGACATTCCAGTTACAAGGGATGCTCTTAGACCATTCAATCACTGAGGTCTGTATCCAATGGCCCATGAATTTCATATTAGCATAACCGCCAGTTTATTTCACAGGCGAGTAACTGTTCTCCTGGCTGACCCGGTAGATGCCACTGATCTCAGTGGTCAAACACAGGCTTGTTCAATCTCTTAGTTGTATTTTATTGGAATTATAAGTGGGATTTCAATAGTCACACTTAATAAGATAGCTATGTATAATCATCTGGGGACAACGAACTCCATACGGCAGATATCACCAACTTCGGATGTAATAAAGAATATTTGTAGCTCAGATGGATAATTCTGATATAGTTGTGTTTTCTATGCTGGATAGTTTTAGTTGCAAAGCTCCAGCTCAGTGACCACAACTACATCAACTTCAGTTATCGTTTTTAAGACACCCCAATGACAAGCGACTATACACCCCCAGCTTGAAATATGTGAGGCAGGATTCGAACTCGGGAGCTGTTGGTTGAAAGTCGAGTGCTTAAACGATTGATCCACATATCCACCCGCAGACTTTAGTACTTACAAAATAATCGTAGGAGTAGTAGAAGAAGAAGGGAAAAACAGGTTTTGAGAAAGACCGTTTATATTGCCTCAGTAAAAGTTAAAAAAAACGCAGAACACTTGCGTATGAAATAATCCATGTGATAACTTTGTACATAGTCACACGAACTGAGATACATGGGTCTTTGAAAGCAAACGACTGACGACAGCAACCGTTGTTTTAGTATTGTTGGCACATTATAACAAGAATTAGTGATATTATTAGATATTTGAATTAACGCTGACTAGTACAATAATCAGACAGTTTTTATCATTGCGTGGTGGTCGCAATGACCCAGCCAGCTACACCGCCTGAAATGAGTATTCCTTTAGATTCTGCCATACTGGAAAGGTCATTTGAATAGCGGTTAGACTAAAAAAAGTTATTGTCATAGTTTAAATCTGTTTACACCATATTGGGGGGGGGGTCTGTGGACGAAGTTGTACGAATAACTAATAAGGATGTAACAGCAGGTAGGGTGTTCCTTTCACACGACCACCATGCCAGTTATGCTGCCTCTCCTTTCGGAAGACAGCGAAGGGTTAGTAAGAGTCCACCTCTGAAATTGTACATCCTCACTGTAGTCGGTGGTAAGATCTTCTTACGAGCACTGTAAGCAGTTATTCCCTGTGGTTATACAACGCTAATGCTGCTTTTATTTCAGATATTTCAAGAAGAAATGCTTATTACTCTTCTATTCAAGCATAACAGCGGTTGTGTGTGTTTGTGTTATTGACAGTAATATGCTCCCCTAGCTCCTCTTTCCCCCTCCCTTGTTTTTACAACATATGAAAATCTGTCAATCATATTTAACTTCATCAGTTCAGTGATGGAGTAAATAGTGAAAAACAGATCTGTGTAATTTCATTTTAATCTGTTTATTGGATATTATTAATACACAGTGTGGAACATTACTATTATTACTTACTGGATAACGTTTTGAATACATAGCACTTATTGTCCATAATCATATCATGCACCCTGTTCTCTTGATTAGTTTGAACGAAGAAACAACAATATGCACAGGAAGACAAAGGGTTCACTTTTTATTCAAAATTCACGGATCACTGAATTCCAACACAGGTGGCTGAATGGTCAATAATGGGTTTCACCTCTTAACCTGAAAGTCCGGGATTCGATCCTTGATAGGGTCGTGGGTGCGGACTTCTAAAGCAGCGACCCAAACTAGGACGAAACAGAATTCCAGTGCTCCCTGGCTCTCAATAATCTATTATTGATGTCGATTCGTGTATCATAAAACTTTTCACAGAAGTACATCATTTCGAGTTGTCACACTTCATGTACCACACAAAGGTAGGGAAAAGAGTTTCAGAAGAACGATAATAAGCAGAAATGTGAGGGAAATGAACAGGGTTTAATGGATATGGTGAATCACAAAGAAGAAATGTATCTGCTCCATCGAGAACTATTTTTTTAGCCATATCACAAGTTATCTTCAGCCATTGTTCCTTTGAACCCCGACGACCCCAACCAGGAAGTCAGTCTACACCTCCCTATGTGACTGCCTCAAACTATCTGATAAATATTTCATGCACTGATTCCATGTTTTCGTTTGAGAAAGGCGATGGTGGCTAGGCATACCTAACACATGTCATAGCCACCTCAATCGATATAGCTTCACAACCTCATCGATGGATTTTCCTTCCTTACCTAACATCCTACGCCTAACCTCAATATTGCTCACCTTATTATACCACTTTACATGGGAGAAAGACCACAGACACCTATGGTCAAAGACAGTCAGCCTTTTCATATCTTCCCCATTCAATGGCCGTGTCTCACAACGATAAATGTGGAGGATGGAACGAACTTATGAGCAGTACACACGTCGATTTGTCGATAACCGGATATCACGTCTGCGTCCTTTTGTATCGGTGCTGAGAATCCGTCAGCGATCAGTCTTTAAGGACTGGGATGATGCAAATTCGCAAATAAGTGAAGTGGTCAATACGCTCCACCAATATTCATACCCTATCTTTCAGCTGGGAATCGATGATGTAGCGCTGTAACATCATCTTACATTTGACAGGAGTGAATCTCATGCGAAACATTTTGAAGATTGCTGTTCAAGGTGTTCAGAAGATTCTACATTTTTTCTCAGCGTCTCCACCCACCCAGGAGGAATATATCATCCGTCTAGTGTAAGTCAACAAAACTATTCTCTGGTTAGATAGAGTTCAATGCGTAAGTCTCTGAAGTCAGTCGGAGGTAACAGAACTTGAGATAGGAAATTTTCAAGTGTTGATTTTACAGGGATTTGATGGAAATACCATCAGTTAGATCACCGCTAGTAAGCAAGGAGTACTGGACAGGTGTTTCGTTCTAGTTTGGCGCGCATGGAACCATGATGCCACCGGTTGTCGAATTCAGGAGCTTTAGATTACAACGCGAATCTGTTAACGAATATCACTACACATAGTCTAATCCTGAAAGCGATAAAATTTGTTAACACAATGATGTGGCATTTTTATATATTCAGATATATACACACATATGTTTATGTTCTCCGGTCGTGTTAACCTTGAGCCTCTTTCCCTGTTTTTTTTGTTTTCTTTTTCGTTTCATTTTTAGGCTATTCATAAACTTGCTCCATTATGTCAACCAGAACCAAAGTTGTACGGAAGAGATATGAGTATCATTCAACTGTTGACAGCAATTCATAGTTATAGTTTAAGTTTAAGTGAACGAATATCACAGACAAATACAAATACAAATAGCAATACACAAGTGATGAATAGTAATGATGATAGTAACAGTGGCAATGAGAATATTGTAAATTCATTAACTACAAATAACTTGGATAAAAGAACAAATAATCTTTCGTCTATCATTGAATCATGTGCTGCATGTCCAGTGGCTGAAGTCGCTGCTCTTGTTCGTCTATCCTTTGATGCAATGCATCGAAATGCTATTTGTGAATTAGGTAAGCTATACAACAATCGTATTGTTAAAATAAGAGCGTGTATACTCAATTTTTTAGTATGGTTAGGATTGATCGAAGGAGAGATCACAGTTGTACAGTTTGACAGACATTTGTGTTTTACTGATATAAGAATAAAACTTGTGCAGTGTGGTAGACTGTAATTCCATTATGAGTTAATTTTATTTTGATAAAGTCTCACAGTGTTATACAGTGATATTTACTGATGACGTTTCGAGCACAATTTATTGCTCATAATCATATCAAGGTAATCACACGACTTCCTAAATTCATTTATATAGTTCCACTGTTTTTCACTTGATTTTCACTTGATTTGATTGGTAGTAGTATCTTCCATATTTCGGGTATGAGTGATGAATCATTCCCATTGCATGTGTTGGGTATAGATTCGATGAACAAGGATTCAGTAATCAACCTCTCTCGCTCTCCACCTACCAAGATTACTTTTTAGAATTTTAACCCTCTCCCACCCTATTATGTGGTTGTGTGCTAATGCATGCATTGCAATCGCTGAGCTTATTTCTAAATTACTTATCTTCTCTGGGTCAACCATTCTTACCTTAGCTAAATTCTTATGTTCTGACAATCTGACTACCCCTGACCTACTAGTTTGACCTATGCAGTTGACTTCACAGTCATTGCAGGGTATTCTGTAAATTATATTGTTTTTTCTAATTGGGTCAACTGGGTCCTTTAACCTAGCGGCAGGACCCGACGGAATTATTCCGGAGGTGTTTAAATATAGGGGTGACATACTAGCATATAGTTTAACTATGGTACTAGGTAACGTCTGGGAATCAGAGACGGTTCCATCAGACTGGGGTAAGTCACTTATCATACCGATTTTCAAGAAGGGAGACAAGTCGTCATGTGATAATCATAGGGGGATCAGCTTAACGAACATAGTCTCTAAAATCCTAGGCTCAGTAATCATGAACAGACTAAGCCGAACTCGGGAGGAACAAACGAGGGAAAATCAAGTGGGCTTTAGGCCAGGTAGAGGGTGCATAGATCATATCTTCACTCTCCGACAGATCCTAGAACATAGACACACTTTTAGGCGTCCAACAATTGCCATATTTCTTGACTTGAAGGCGGCCTTCGACTCCGTGGATCGAGAGGTACTATGGAAATGTTTGACTATGAAGGGAGTGTCAAGAAAGTACATAGCACTAATCAAGGCACTCTACTCAAACTCACGTAGCTGTGTAAGGGCTTATGGGGAATTGTCATCTGAATTGATAACAACCAGTGGTGTCCGTCAAGGATGTCCACTTTCCCCTTTTCTGTTCTGTTCTTTTAACCTGCAGAGCTTGTCCCTGAGTGAGTTTGTAGGTTTCAATGCCACCCTAATTCCTGCTTTATCTAGAATCCTACGTAGGGTCTCAGATCTCCCCTCTTTATATGGTATAGCTTTCGATGACTTATATTCTCTCTTATTTATGTTATTATTACCAGTTTCACAATTATTTTTATTTTTCTTTTGGCGTTTTTCAATCTTCCTAATGAATTTTAGAGGATAGTTATTTAGAACCAATGCCTCTTATATCTGTTTTATTTCATCATTTAGGTCTTTTTTTGTGCTACTTAGCGCCATTGCTCGGTTTGTTAAACACTTAACTAAGCCTGCCTTAACAGTTAAAGGATGAGATGAATTAAAGTCTAAATATCTATTAGAATGCGTTGGTTTTCTATAAACACTAGTGTGTAGTTTGCCTTCTTCTATTCGTTTTATTTTACAGTCTAACATAGCTAATTCTCCTTGCTCATCTTCCGATTCAAATGTGAATTTTATTCCCTCCACTAGTGAGTTTATGTGTGTCAAGAAGCTAGAGATATGTTTTGTTTTTAACACTGTGAAAGTGTCATCCACATATCTCCACCATATTTTTGGAGTAGGATTAAACGTATTAAGAGGTATATTTTCCCAGCTATCCATCAATATATCTGCTACTATATGGGGGATATTGGGGATCCCATTGCTACACCTTCAGTTTGTCTATATACTTATCTTTAAATATATCTTTAAATTCTTGGTGTTGGTTCGCTTCCAGAGTACCTTGTTGCTTGTCGTTTCTGACCATCTGATGAAAGTCTAAAGTATCGTATTGGTTGATGAAATGCTGTGACAAGCACTGACAAGATGTTCAGTTGTCGCACTTTCGATTGAACCAGTGCTGCCTATATTCCAGGCATGCTGAGCAGTTGTCTCTAATTCATTTCGAGAATACATGCATAAAATGAGCTATGTATCTAGCTCCACAGGAGCAAGTGAATTAATATATATATATATATATACTTACATTAGAGTGGTCATACGCGGGAGTTCACCCTTCAAACTTCTTGGAAGCAGTTGTGAATGGTTAGAGAATATTACTCTTAGCGTTGCTGCATGAAAGTTCATCTTTAAGGAACTAATGATTCTTCCCTCTGTTTCAAATCACCGAAAATACCCATTGAGTCACGAGTCCAATCTATAATATCTGCCGCTGAGTTTCCTCTGAAATCCAGGTTCATTCAACAGACAGTATTTTTCTTTGACAGTACACTCTCCTCTTTTTGGTTTTGATTTCAATTTATTATCCGTTTCTTTCCTTAAAACTATTTTAGCTATCAGGGTATTATGGTTGTATGCTTGCGTGTGTGTGTGTGTGTGTGTATGGACAAAACCAGTTTATTTTTAATGCAGAGAGGCATGTAAAAGGAAATTGTATAATGGTATCACTAAATTTTGTTTTCTTTTTTTTGAAAAGTTTTTTCAATAATCATTTCGCCACTTTTTGGACAGTTGGTCTTGTTTTTTTTTCTATAGAAAATTATTCCCTCCTGGCATTTTCTTTTTTTTGTTTGTTTATTATCTGTCAAAAGGTAGTGCAGTGCAGTGTAGTGACAAGTTGTAATCGTCATTATATAGATACAATCATCAAAATGTCATGTAAATTAATTAATTAATTAGGCTGTAATTTTATTTGACATTTATGCAAACAACAAATTACATGAAAATGTGATTGATATCATCGTTGGTGAAAATTTCAGCTACCCAGAACGTGTCTCAGGCTGAGAGCTACATACACACCCAAACACATAAACACACATTGTGTAAGACCTAATGATACTACTACTCAATTTAGCGCCATAGGTTGAAGTGGGTGGAACATTGTTTCGGACGCAGCACTCTTCGACTGAATATCGGGTACTCTAAGCCAATGAATCATAAGATATCATTAAATCAGATTAGCTGTTTCCTCATAGTTTTATGAATTAAAAGTCAATCTGAACGAAGAATATTCTTTTCAAAAATTTCTCCTATTCAGGTTCTTACAATTATAAAATATAATATTTGTTGTCATTATAATAATGATAGCCAGTTATGCGGCGGAAACATCTTTTTCCAACGTAGAATAACAGATTATTGTTATGGGGTGTCAAAATAAATAGTCGTATTTGTGTGACAAACGTGCTAGGCTGAAATCGATTACAAAATATTTTAAAACAGGAGACAATGGTGGTGATTAATCATAATAGATTTGTAGAGTGTGGGGAGGAAAATTGACAAGTCAATTCAAGGTTATAGAAGGTGTCAGGTGAGTGGCTAGTACAAAGTGGTCTGTGTTAAACAGGAGATAGTAAGACTGCAATGGGAGGTTCATAATGAGATAACGAATATGTGAAATTAAACAGGTAGAGGCATATATTGAGAAAAGAGATAATATCACTAATAATAAGTTCGGATAGTATAAACGAAAAATTCGATAGTATTGAGAGAATGTTTGCATGAAGGGCATAAATTATGACGAATAATAATAATGGTAATAATAATATTTGTAATAATAAGCAAAGGAAAAAAAGGCCAAGAGGGTTAAGGGGAAGGAGCACTCTTGGTGAGAAGAAGGATCATCAATCCAAGTTTGGCCACGGTAGGAACAGCGTCTGGACGTGTTCTTTTTGGATACAAAGTTCCGGTTTAGTCGATCTTATTGCAGTGTATCTGCCGCATAACTGGCCTTTATTGTAACGACAACAAATATTATATTTTATAATTGTAAGAACCTGAAGAGAAATTATTGGAAAGAATATTCTTCGTTCAGATTGACTTTTAATTCATAATATGGGAATTTTCCACACTATCAAATCATAGTTTTATGTTTGTTTGCTTGCTTTTTAACACCATACAGCCAAACTCTTTTAAAAGCTGTAAGATTTCCTCTCCAGGTATTTTTTTTCGCCATTTATTCATTTCGCCAGACTGAATTTCATGAGAATTGAAGCATGGCTATGGAATACAGAGCTTAACACTTCAACTTTGAAGTTCTGTTAGTGGTGACGCTCTTTCTATAGAACAGCGTTGTCCGCCTCACACTCAACCTTTTCTTTTTTACGGGGCTTATTATTTAATAAGCGAGGTTTAGAAGTGCATCAGTTGGGAATCGAATCCGGACGATTTGATGATTGGCTGGTGTACATTCTACCATCGAACCATTGGATTGTTTGAAGAATCAAAGATTGATGCTCTCTGTAGTAATAAGCAGATGGTGTTTCGGTCTTACCTGGTTTTACTGCTTCTCGTTTTTTATGAATACAATTTTAACTGAATAAAAATGCCCATTAAAATTTTCAAAAGAATAGACACGGAACAAAGAGTACTCTTTTCGATAAATTCATCATCAGGTTCTACAATTATATATACATTATAATGAATGAATGAATTAGTCTTATGAACGACATTATAGTTTAAATAACATCAAATCAATAATATTGATAAATTACAGCTGAACAGCATCAACATAAAATAAACTGAATTAGGAAACATAATAGTACAAATTCATGAGTTTATAGTCTCTACTGAGGGCCAGGGCAGTAGTAGGGGCTGGACTTGTTTCTTTTGGACACAGAGCACTGGTTGTTTGAGCCGAATTGCAATAGCCTCTGCTGTTTGGAGCATGAGGTGCTTCGACGATTTTGGTAGTTTGTTAGGCACTCGGTATATTATAGAGAAGGATTCTTCTACGCTGGCTTTGTGGCCGGTTTGCACCAGATGGTCCAATATCGAACTGTTAATGGTTTTAGCTACACCTTTACTTAGCCATAGTGGGATATGCTCTCGAGCACGAAAAATCATTGGTTGAAGTGAGATGTTAATCTGTGACTCAGCACTGAACACGTGTAGTAAGAATGGACATAATAGCGATCCCGAACATTATTGATAATCGAACGGTATAAAACAGGAAGGAGTAGAATTAACATCATAAATATAGCAAGTGTCAGAAGTTATGTGATGAATACACTGATATAATATATGAGCCTATAAATCTTGCTAGGAACATCATCCAGTTATGTCAAATAAACTTGTCTATTGTGGGAGTAAGTTTTTTTGTTTGTATTGTGACACTGGATTTATTTTCCGGGGTAGGATCGCTATCAACACCGCCCCGCCAAAATCTTCCTATTTTTCGGGCTTAGGACCAGCTAGTAAACGAGGCGAATGAAAAAAAAAATGACGAATTGTGCATCTTGAGGGTAACATGAAAGAGATCATAGTTGAAGAGGAGATGAAAGACTATGGGCAGTCGTGAAGGCAGTTAAAGGAGACTGCAGAAAACAGGATGAACTGGAGATGTCTTGTTGAAGCCATATGCTCCACTTGAAACCCAAGGGAATAATAATAATAATATGGAGATGTATTCTACCAAAGTGCGGGGATTCTATCATTGATATAAGAATAAAACTTGTGCACTGTGGTAGAGTGTAATTCCACAGTGCACAAGTTTTATTCTTATATCAATGATACATATGGTTTTCCTACCAGGAAGCTTATCAACAAACTCACACGACTTTGTCAAACTGAAGCAAGATTCACAAATCATTGGATTTTTAACAGTCGATGTTTAAAAAATCATATAATTCCGAAATATTTACGTCTACTTACTCCAATTACTTCAAGTAAAATAACATCAGCTGCCGAAAATGTCAGTAGATTATGTCTAAGAGAAGAATTACATCGAGTTACTGTGAAACTAAATAATATACGAAATGAAATTGAAAAACTCAAACACAAACTCAAATGTATGATGAGTAACAAAGATTATATAATTATTCTTGAAACATCCAAAAAAGCTCGAGAATCTGCATTAAGAAAATCAAAAAACACACAAATAAAAAAAATCAACAAACTAATTGAAGAAAAGAAAACAACAAATGAAATTGATGTCAACGCTTCATCCTCTATCGACAGAACAAAGTGGGTGATCAACCTCTCATCAAGGGAACTAAGCTCTAGTGAGATAAAAGTACTTGAGAAAGGACTAAATTTCAACGTAACAGAGGATGTCATTTCTTACATAGAAGTAGCACTAAGCTCAATAGATAAGAAGACAGCTGAAGAAGTTCGAGCACTGCGGGGGTTCTACTCTTGCATAGGTTGCAGTTGTCTATTCAAACTTTGTCGTCGATGTATCTTTGTGGTGGTGGTGTTGGTGTGTACAAGTGAAGTAAATGTCATCTAGTGTAGTATTTCCGTTTTGAAAGATAATTATAGGTAATTTAGTCAGTCAAGGTATTAATAGGCACCGAAGGAAGTGAATAATGGATCAATGTATAGCTTACCTTAACTACTTACTGTCTTTGTCAATACACAATTCTAACTACTAAGAGGTTAAATTTCCTAATGAGGGCGGACTCTTCCAATTGTTCACCTGAGAGTGAATAATCCACTCTAGTCACCCAAATGACAAACTACAAGCACACGGCGTGACGGCGTGACTATCATGTCATTGAGAGCATCCGTAGTTAGTCCTCAGGTATTGGAAACCAAGATTCAACCAACTCAAAAGGAGTCAGGCAAAGTTACAATTATTCACTGACAACTCATATGCAGAAAAAAAATGGAGGACTTTCACAGATGACTGCAACCAATATTGGACACGACCCTGGTTAGATGGTGACATCAAAGTTCTAATAGGTGATATGAACGCTAATGTATCAAATAACCAGACTCTTATCTTGGAAGAGGTCAATGAATATGAAGCCAGTCAAAGATATTGAAGGAAATCTAGCTACAATAGAGGCGGAACAGAGGAAATGCTTGTGGAAATAGTCATGGCGCTAACTAAAAGTTATGGTAGAAAAGTTGAGTTCAATGAAAATGTGCCTCTGAGTTCCCCGTATTCCATTTGGAATCAAATTTATGAAGGTATCGGAGATTAGAGCTAATCGTTTCTAGATCTGTAAAGTCAATAGCTGAATCAGTGAAGTTTTTGAAGTGGAGGCAAAAGTAAGACAAGACTGTCTACTATCAGTGATGATGATCAGTGATGACTGGATCATGCAATAGACCGTTAGGAGCGGGAAGACGGACATACGTTGGACCGATGAGAAGAGACGAGAGGGTCTGGACTTTGTTGATGATTTATGTCTAATGTCACACAAACTGGAAGACTTGCAGGCGAAAACGGACAGATTCACAGAAGTAGTGAAGACAGGTTTTCAAGTGAACATATTGAAGACAGGGGTTGTGAGGATAACTAACCACCATCAAGAACAACAACAGGGACCAATCACTATCAACGGGAGAAATTTGAAGGTGGTCACTTCTTTCACTTTCCTGACTTTGACAGCATCGTTTCAACTACAGGTAGTGGCGCCGATAAGGATGTCAAAAGCAGGATCAGAAATGCAAGACAGAGAGGCGTTCATATATCTGAAATCACTATGGAAATCTCTTGCAATTCAGCATGAGGAACAAAATCCGGATTTTCAACACACATGTCAATTCATTGCTTTTACATGATTCAGTAACTTGGCGCGTCGCGAAAAGCATTTACAACAAGTTACAGACCTTTATCAACGCCAGACCCTTTCTTTCTTATTTGATTGTGTTCTCTGAGCTGGTTGATTTAATAGCGAAACTTTCATCTTCCTTCTAGACAACATCTTTGGCACAAGCTCGCGCTGAGATGAGATGGTTGACTTTCAATCGATTAGCAACAATGTACTCTGGTAGCGAACCATTCAAGAACGTGTATCACTCGACAAGTATTCAGGATGAAATGCAGACGTATTGAATATTATACATCGAGGAAACCATCGGGTGACGTCACACATCAGGCTTCCTAGCGTGGACGAGGAATTGGGAACGACGAGTTGCGTATGCGTCCTGGGATGACATGGATGGGATCGTATGATATGGAAATGAAAGCTGATGATCAATTGTGGGGTCGGCTGAAGTAGACTTCAAAGAATAGGGTGGTGAAATGACTGTGCTACTGAGGCCTCAAGGTACTCAAGGGAATAATAATAATAATGTATGTCTGAAATATGTTCAAAATGCTTTAGTTTTATTCATTGTCAATATGGTTTCATTTTCCTTTTTTCCCTAAATCATTGTCCCCTTATGCATGAGATTTTAAGTTACATATCCTTTGTGTCTACTAGTGTTCCTGTTTTATCGTCATATTTTTTTTTCCAGGTGGTGTACATGCTCTTATCTCACTACTGCGTATTGAACAAACCATTTGGTCAGAATACCTCAATCCGTTTAGCAGTAACAACAACAATAATACTCCTCCAATTAGTGCTACTACTACTATTACTACTACTAATACTAACACTGGCGTCAATACTACAAATTCCCTGATAATTGGCAATCAAAATGTTACAACGACATTACTAGAGAATAGTCTAGCGCTTCGTCGATATATATGTATGGCGTTAACAAATTTAACTTATGCAACAATTGATAATAAAGCATTTATATGTCGACGTATTGCTAATTTAGAAGTATTACTAGCACAATTGGAGACAGGAAATGAAGAATTAAAACAGGTAATACATATATATTATTCTATTTGCTATTGCTGTTACTGTTATACTGTTGTAATTATAATTTCCTTTTTCTTTTCAATGAGTGTGTGTGTATTTATTGTTGATTGATTTGTCAGGATTTTTAACTTTCTTTTTTACTGATTACAATAATAATAGTAGAATAGTAGACACTGATTCATCAACCCTGATTTGGACTCTTTAGCAATTCACTGATGACTGTGATAGGAAGTCAAACCTAGGAAAGCCTTACACAATAACGTTTAAATCGTTTCAGTTGATAATAGATAGCAGTATTTCTTTCCAGTGTCTCTGGTAATTATCTCTTCCCACGCTCAACTTGGGGGTTTATGCGTGAATTGTTGGTGAGGGGGATTCAGTTGATGTCAATTTCTTGAACCGCATGCAGCACTGGGTTCAAATTTCAGCGGGATCGATAGTTCCCTCAAGATTGCAGATATGTCTTGTTGATGAATGCAAACAAGCATGAAACTTCGGTTCAAGATTTCCAGCCGATTGCCTCTAATCATCTAATAACAACAATTCAGAATGCAGCGTGATGGTGAAGCCAGTGTGAAGCTTAGTGGCTACATTGCCGAAATTGACTGGGAGAATTCAGTCTGCGCCAAACTAAGGACTCTAGACGCATGACAGTAGTGTTACCACCTAGTGTTCACTCAGTCAAGTTGGATTTTCAGTAGCCATGGGGATCTTACACTCACTCTCTCTCTCGACCTTTTATCTTTCCCAAGCCCTTAGCACTGGCTAGTAAACCTGGGCGAGATTTGTAAAAACAGTAGTGGCAATATATATCCGCAGTATCTTTACCCATTCTTATATCTGATACACATGTTCCACAGTTATGAAGTATACTTCATACAAACGATACTTTTTTTAATGAATTCGTATTTGCTTTTTTTCTTTTGGGTGGGGTGTGATGGGGTAGGAAGAAGCCTTTTATACTAGTGTATACGATAGCCAATTGACAGATTATACAGTTTGAGGTGATAATTCGGTCGGTCGGTCGATCCGTTTTCGACATAGAACTTTGCACATATGTGCGGCAGTTCAAGTCGCCACACTCCCTCTTTGTAGCACACAAAGCAAGAGAAGAAAGTAGGAGAAATGCATAATAATGACAGTAAACAGAGGTGTGAGACAAAGGAATAGTAATAACAAAGAACAAAACAGTTTCATCAGAAATCATAAGTCACAAGGAGTGGATGCATCTGCACCAGCCATTGAGAACGATTTTGAGCCATATCACCAATTGTTTCCAACCATTGGTTTTTACCGTCCCGAGGACCCCAACCAGTCAGGAAATCTACACCTTCCAACGCGACTTAGACTAACTGTTGTAGATTTCATTGACTGGTGCCATGTTTTGGTTTGACCGCCGCTAGCTCTTTTCCAGTCTGGCCCTATATCAGCTAACATTGCCTGTTGGTCGAGGAAGGCGATGACTAGGCATGTGTAACACATGTTGTAACCATCTCAGTCGATGTAATTTCACAGTCTCGTCTATTGATTTCCCCGCTGGTGAAAATTCACCAACGTTTCTTTTTGAAAGTGAAATAAGTCTACTCATAATATGCAATCTGATCTGTTTAATAACACAAAATGGTAATCCGGAAAGTAGATATCTATGTATGGCGATATGTACTATGGATTGTTTGGTATGAGTAGTTGGATATGCTAGCGCTTACATTAACTAGTAGTGTTTGGTAGGTGAATCGTCAAAGTGACCTCAACACTGGACGAATGTTTGTCTTTTTTAGATCACTGGTCAGCATGCACTTCTGGTCGACATGAGTGATGGTATCAAACTGCTACTAATCATTTACAATGAGTAAATCAGTAGTATATTCCACCATGCATGGATGCTTTCTCCCTTGATTACCATTATTGACTGATTGACTGACTGACCTGTTTCACCATTCCATTTAGCACACAAAAGAAGACAAAAGACAGAGAAAAAAAGTAGATTCGAAAGAACGATAATAATAATAATAATCAGAAATGTGATATCACAAAGAGTGAATGCATGTGAACCACTGAGAATGATTATGAGTCATATCAACAATGGTTTCCAGTCATTATTATTATTATTGTTCCCCTTGGGTTCCACTTGCTTCTGTCTTCTGCTGTACTTTTCACCTGCATCCATGTTAGTCCATACTGTTCCAACTCTTCTTCACACAATCTCCTCCATGTCACCCTTGGACGTCCCACTCGCCACTCGCTTCCCTTTCGGGTTCCACTTGAGCACTGGCCTGACGCGCGATGTCACCCAGTGGCCTCCTCAGCCAGTGTCCAATCCATCTCCACTTTCTCCTGCATATTTGTTGGGTGATTGCTTCTTGTTTTGTTTGTTCCCATAGTTTCTTGTTGGTGATTCTTTCCGGTCATCTGATCTTCAGTATAGAACGAAGACAGTTGTTGATAAAGGTCTGCAACAGGCTGTTGGAAATATTCTTTGTGACCCGCCGCCAAGTTTCTGATCCATCCGTATAGAAGAACTGACTGACTCGACGTTTGTATTGAAAATCCGAATCACTTTGTTGTTGATGCAGGCTGAGTTGAGTGACGAAGATTTCCAGATTGTTTTGAGGTTGATGAATGTGTTTCTCGCCTTCCCGATTCTCGCTCGATTTGACATCCTCGTCCGTCCCGACTGCCTGTAGTTGAGACAATGCTCCCTAGATAAGTGAATGAAGTAACCTCTTTCAAATCCCTCTCGTTGATGGCACTGGATGTTGCTGTTGTTGTTGTTGTTGTTGGTTGGTTATTTTCATAAGCTCCATCTTGTCTATGTTCACCTGGAGTCTTGTCTATGCTGACAGCCTCTTCGACCAGTTTGTCGGTTTTCGCTTGTAAGTCTTCGATTTCGTGTGACATCAAACATAAATCATCCACGCGCGAAATCCAGGTCTTCTAGGTTCTTCACGTGGGTCCAGGATATCCCTGTCTTCTCGTTTCCCACTCACTGTCTGACGCGTAATCCAGTCCACCACAATTAGGAATATCATTGGTGATAATAAGCACCCTTGTCTGACTCCTGCGTTTACTACAAACACCTCTCTGAGTTTTCCGTTGTGGAGGAATCACTTGACATGTGCCATTGTCGTACGTCGAAGTACTCGAGTAGTTTCCAAATTACTTCGCGGTCAACGCTGTCGAAGGCCTTCTCAAAGTGTATAAAGTTGAGGTAGAGGTTTGATTGCCATTCCATGCTTTGTTCTGTGATGATGATGCGTAGTGTTGCAATTCGGTCAGAACATGATTTGCCTTTCCTGAATCCTCCTTGTTCTGCTCGGAATTCTGTATTCAGTTCTTCCTGTATCCTCTCCAGGATGATGCGACTCAGAATTTTACTTGCGTCGACAGGCGCATGATTCCAGTCATTGGTTCCTAGTTATTCGAGGGACTCCAACCAGGCAATTTACACCACGTCCTGTGTAGCTCAAACTGCCTGTTAAAGATTTCATGAACTGATTCCATGTTTTGTCTTGACCACCACAACAGAACATTTTCAACCTGATTCTATGTCAGCCGTCGTGGAAGGCAATGGCTAGGCATGCGTAGCACATATTCTAGCTATTTCAATTGATGTAACTACACAACCTCATTGATTGACTTTCTGATTACCCATTATTATAAGTTGTATCATGACTGGTAATTGTATATTTCTGGGTCAACCAACTATTTAATATCTAGTTATTCAATAACTCATGAATAGATAGATAATAATGAAGGCTACTTTTTTCTTCTTCTTTTTCTAACTCTTTGTTTGATCTTTATCTGCGTGTGTGCGTATGTTGTTCTTTTATTCAGCGCTTGTTGATTGCATGCTTGTGTGTGAGTGTGTGTGGCACTCTCATTGTATAGTATCAACTATCTACTTATGTCTCTCTATCAGTAGTAATTAGTTTGTGACAGACTACGTTAAAAAAGGAGAAAGATAATCATTAAAATCTTGAAACAAAAAACTATTGCGTAACTTTCTTAGTTTAGCCATTACTTGCGGTGGCTTTTATTTGTTACTGTTACTGTGTGTGTGTGCGTGTTTGTGTGGTCTGATTTCTATCGATTATACCTTCTCTCATTGGTTTTGTCTTTCTTACCTTCTAAGAACCATTTTATGTTATTTTATTTTATCAATATGCTTATCACGCTATCAGTAGTTACTGGAGTTTTTATGTAAAAGGGGGTTACTCGCTTCGCATGTATGAAGTTTGTGATTCATGGATTGTAGTCAATCAGTTGCTTACAAAATTTCTATTACAAAACTGATAGATATAATTCAGTTAGCATTAATACTGAGCAATTATTATTATTATTACTATTTTTATTCTTCCCTTGGGTTCCAAGAGGAACATGTTTTCCTCCTGTGTTCCCATCAGTCCTCTTTAACTCATTTCGCGAATGTCCTTAAGCTTTCATCTCCGCCTCATACGATCTCCTCTGTGTTCCCGTGGGACAAACACACCGAACTCATCGTTTCCCATTCGGGTTCCACTCGTACCATGTCGCTTAGTTCACATAGTAGTTCGCCTTTGCTGACTCCTTCCTGCTGGCTAATTTGATTGTCAATGTGGAGGCAGCGACCTTTTGGTGACGCGCTAGCCAAGTTTCTGACCCATATAGAAGAAGTGACTGACTGACTTCACATTGATGTTGAAAATCCTAATCTCTTTCTTTATGTTGAGTGAGTGCAGAAGGTTTCCAAACTGAGTTGTTAGTGACAAAGGTCTGTGTCGCCTTTCCGGTCGTAGTTTTAACATCCTCTTTCGTGCTGTCGCTTGTAGTTGAGATGATGCTACCTAGATAAGTGAAGAAAGTGACCGTTAATAGTGATCGGTGCTTGTTGTTGCTCCTGTTGGTTAGTTATCTTCATCAGCCCTGTCTTCTGTATGTTCACTCGAAGTCCTGTATTTTACTGCTAATACCAGGCATTAAACTCATGGTAGTATATGTTCACTTGTAATAAATAACCAATCAAT